CCAGGCTCAGTACCCCCAGACACAGCACCCCCAGGCACAGCACCCCCAGGCTCAGCACCCCCAGGCTCAGCACCCCCAGGCCCAGCACCCCCAGACTCCGCACCCCCAGGCTCCGCACCCCCAGGCTCAGCACCCCTAGACTCCGCACCCCCAGGCTCAGCTCCCGCAGCAGCACCGGAGTCACCAGTGACCTCGACAGGCTCGACCGCGTCTACCTGGGACACACCTGAAGGGGCAGGACCCTGAGGGGGGAGGGGGACTACCGGGGGGGGACCTGGTACCAAGAAGAGCGGGGGTGGGGGGAGGGACGGAGTGCGGTAGGGGAAGAGGCGGTAGTAGGGTACCGACTCGTCGAACGTGACGTCCTGGGAGGACAGAACACGTCGAGAGGTGGGGTGGTAAAACTGCCACCCAGGGGCGTCGGGGGGGAACCCGAGGAAGACGCAGGGAGAAGCACGAGGGGACAGCTTGTCCGCAGACAGGTCGCGAACAAACGCCCGAGATCCCCAGACCCGGAACGCCGACGCATCGCCAACCTTCCCCGTCCACAGCAGAGCTGGGGAGGTCTCCGGTCGAGAGACCCTGGGGTGGAGGTTGATCTGGTGTGCAGCGTACCTGACCGCAAACGGCCACAGAAAATGGGGAGCAGCCGCATGCATCATGGACGTACGAGCGACGTCCATGACCATGCCAATGCGGCGCTCAGCGATCCCATTCTGCTGTGGTGAGTCCGGAAGCGTGAAGGTCTGACGGATGCCTCGCACACGACAGTAGGTACTCAGGAGGGCCGAGGAGAACTCTCCGCCTCTGTCCGAGTGCAGACGCAAGACAGGGAAGTCAGAGCCAAAGCTTCTCCGAAGCTGAAGACGAGCTGCGCGGATCCAGTCGATCAACACCTGAGTGACCTCACCCTTGCTGCGCAAGGGGAAGACTGTGGTGTAACGCGAGTAGTCGTCAACCACTAGCAGGAAGTAGCGCTCCTGACCCTGTCCACGGACGCGGGCTGGGCCCCACACGTCCATGTGAAGCGTCTGCAACGGGGCCTCTGTCGGAGGAAACTGGGAGGAGTGAGGGGCAGCACGCTGGCGCCCCTCGACACAGGGGACACAGGCAGGGCCAGAGCCCGGAGGAAGGGGAGGGAGGGACCGGGGAAGACCAGACACAAGGACCCGCGAGGCCATGCCTCTGAGCCGAAGCAGAGAGGGGTGGCCAAGGCGGTGGTGCCAGAGGAGGGTCTCGTGAGACAGACGGCGACACGAACAAGGGGCAGACTCAGGACCAGACCTGGACGCTGCAGCAAACACCTGACCAGACGAAGGGGCCCTACCAGACGCAGTACCTGGAGGAGAAGCAGTGGTCAGTGTGTACAGGCTCGACCCCGGCCGACGTGTAAACGTAGCCAGGTGGCGACCTGTATCCGCCTCCGTACAGTGGGTCACCCGCTGACGAGCAGGGGTGAACTGGTGGACACCTGCATCCTGGAGGTCAGCACCACTCACCAAGTTCGTCGAGAACGAGGGGAGGTAGAGACCAGTCAGGGTGCCAGAGGGGGCCGCCGGACACGGGAGGACAGTGGAGAAGCGAGACAGGACAGGCCCCCCAGAGGGGTCCGCCAGGGACACCGCAACAGGCCGACTCAGCGGCGTGAGAGTGGTGCGGTCCCTAAAGAAGGAGCGAGACGCTCCAGAGTCAAGGGTGAAGGTGTGAGAGGCCGAAGCCGACACAGTACCTGAGAGGGCGGACTCACCAGTACCTGAAAGCACAGACGCACTGGCACCTAGAGCAGCAGCCTCACTAGTACCTGACGCGGCAGTACCAATGCCCGGGTCGGGCGGGAAACACCGGTAACAGTCATCCTCATCACTACCAGTCACAGCATACATAGCAGAGAGAATAGCATCAAAATCAAGATCATAAATAGCTACACCAGCCCTAGACAGCACTCCCCAGCGGGGGATCTCAGCGGCCTCCGGAAACTGCTGACGCCAGGCGTCGGTCAGGCGGCCAAAGCAGCGACGGGCTGTGTGGGCGCCTCCACACCTCTCCCCTGCACGGTCACCAGTGCGAAGAACGTAGGGGCAGGGACCAAGCGCACCACCGCGCTGACGCTGCAAGTACCACTCACGGAGCTGCTGAGGGCCGGGGACGGTGCGAGAGCGCTGCTGCTGCTGCGGCTGCTGCTGTGGCTGCTGCTGCTGCTGCTGCTGGCGCTGACCACCCCCAGAGCTGCTCCGCTGGGACGAGCCACTCCGACCCCCTCCTCCACCGCCACCCCCGCCTCCACCGCCACCCCCGTCGCCACCGCCACCTCCCCCACCAGGACCGTCGCTCCCACCGCTCCCACCGCCTCCTCCGCTACCACCTCCGCCGCCACCTCCGCCTCCACCGCCGCCACTACTACCTCCACTCCCACCACCACCCCCCCCGCCACCCCCACTCCCCCCTCCACCCCCACCGCCTCCTCCACCGCCCCCTCTGGCTCCACCCGCTCCCTTGCCCCCCTTGCCCTTGCCAGTGCGGCGTCTGCCACTGGGGGCAGACGCCGCGCCGACCGACTCAAAACCAACGAGGTCGGCCGCAGCGGCAGAGGCGACAGAGGGCAGCAGGGGGGAGGGACCACACCCCTCAAAGATGGGGGTGCGAGGGTCACCCCGAGAGGCCCCTACAGCGACTATGCTCTTCTCAGCCGCTAGCAGGGACTCCTCAAGGAGGTCGACAGTGAGAGTGGTGGGACAGACAGAGAGAAACTGGTCCCTAACGACACGAAGGGACTCAGGGAGACGGGTGACGAGAAAGTAGAGAGTGATGTACATGGGAGGAGGGTTCGTAGCGCGGAACTCAGCAGGAAGGGCAGCGCGGTAGCGGGTGTCACTAGCGCGGAGGTGGGTAACGAGGTCAGCGACAGTGGGAAAGGAAGCGAGGTCAGGGAAGAGAAACGGTAGCATGAGGCGGCTAAGGGTAGCGGAGGAAGGGGAGGAGTAGCGCGCAACTACAGCGTCGTACAAGGCCTGAGCGGTCTTGCACTGACTAAAGTGGGCACGCTCAGAGGAAGGGAGGTGGCGACGCACAGCAAGACGTGCAGTAGCATCGCGGGTCGCCCACTTGGAGCGAACGGCAGAGTCAGCATCAGCAGGCGGGGCAGGGACAGCGCCAGAGACAAAGTCAAAGAGAGAGACCTCATCTACCGCATCACACAGTAAGTACAGCTGCAGATCCTCGATCCAGACGGCAAAGTCAATGGCCCTCCCCTCAGCGTCAAAAGTGAGAACATTGGGGGTGGCCATAGCAGCAGCTGAAAGTCTCACCGGGATGGGAGAGTCGGGTAGGTCAGCAGCAGGCGGCTCGGGCTGCTCGTGCAGCTCAGGCGGCTCGGCTACTGCGGGGCGGCTCGGCTACTGCGGGGCGGCTCGGCTGCTGCTGGGCGGCTCGGCTGCTGCTGGGCGGCTCGGTTGCTGCTGGGCAGCTCGGCTGCTGCTGGGCGGCTCGGCTGTTGCTGGGCGGCTCGGCTGCTGCTGGGCGGCTCGGCTGCTGCTGGGCGGCTCGGCTGCTGCTGGGCGGCTCGGCTGCAGTGCAGTGGCGGGGCCGGGACAAGGCCGGCGGTAGGGCCGGCGGTAGAGCCAAGTAGGAGCCGGCGGCGGGCCGAGTAGCAGGTCGGCGGCGGGCCGAGTAGGAGGCCGGCGGCGGGCCGTGTAGGAGGCCGGCGGCGGGCCGTGCAGGAGGCCGGCGGCGGGCCGAGTAGGAGCCGGGGCCGGGCCGTGTAGGAGGCCGGCGGCGGGCCGTGTAGGAGGCCGGCGGCGGAGCCGAGTAGGAGCCGGCGGCGGGGCCGTGTAGGAGGCCGGCGGCGGGCCGAGTACGAGGCCGGCGGCGGGCCGTGTAGGAGGCCGGCGGCGGGCCGTGTAGGAGGCCGGCGGCGGGGCCGAGAAGGAGGCCGGCGCGGGGCCGCGTAAGAGGCCGGCGCGGGGCCGCGTAAGGGGCAGGCGGCGGGGCCGCAGGGGAGAGGGCGACCCGAAGGGTCGCTAAAACAAAAAAAAGGGCGCGCCTCGGGGCGCGCTTCGGTGGGCCCAAAAAAAAAAATTCGGTCCTGGAGGGACCTAGCTCTATACCATGTGAAACTTATGAGCAGAGGAAAATGAAAGACTAAGGAAAGATTGGGTACAAATACAACCCTAGCAAACTGTACCCCATATGTGCTACCCCACTATAGCCTACAAACATGCAACAGCTATAATAATCTGACAGTGACTGCTGATTGTTCAAAGATTATGCTATCAGCTCCTCGACATGCTAGGCGGAGGATGCGGTAGCATAGTTTTTGGGTCGTTAACTTTCACGCATCTTTATCATTATATATATGCATCATGGATTGTCAGTAACTAATCATTATTCATATAAAACTGAAGACATGTATTTATCATTTACCATATCATATATTACACAATATATCACATTTTGTATAATATCGTTTCATTCATCTACATTCATCGATCATTACATTCATTTTTTCATATGCATATTATATGGTAGTAAAGCACAACAAAGTAGATTACAAAAACAACCTGGTTGTCCAAAAAATCATTACCATCACGCTAGTATAATTTTTACTAGACAAGACCTCCTACATGTTACATAACTAGCAATTAATGCATCCATTTTTTTTTTAATTTTCATATTTTATTTAAAATAAATAAAATGTCAAAATGTGGAAAAAAAAAAGTCTGGCCCAATCGATCGTAATAGGTTGCTTCGCAACCCAAAAAAACAAGAGGCGACAAAGTTTGTTGAGATAGTAAGAGTAGGGCCTAGGCTTAGTAGCCTAGGCCAAAGGGAGTCGATAGAGATTAGGCAAAGAGGGGGAGTTCACTATTGAGCGAGGTACAAATAGCGAACAAAGCATGCAAAGAAGGTGCACCACCAACAAGTTTATAATAACTACACTAACTACAGCTACAGGCAGTTACAGATATATTCTAACACTCCCCCATAACTGCCTGCAGCAGAAGCTAATGCAGAGACACCCCCTGAAGGGATACACCAAGCGCAGCAGAAGGAGAGGGCAAGTGAGGAGGAGGGACTATATGAGGAGAAGCTGCTGGCAGGTGAAGTTGCTGGCTCCAAGGCGTTTGCTTCCTGGAACCTTCCTCAGTCCTCCAACTCCCCCTTCCACACTCCTCGACAACCCTAGCACCTCTCCCCCAGCTCCCCCACACCCTCACACCCACCCCCCCACCCCCAGCGGCAGCTGCAGCAGTGGGAGAGAAAGGAGGAGGAGAGGAAGGGGATCACACACACCCATCACCCCCATATCTGCCACCCCCATAGCCTCCGCTCCACGGCTGCACGCGCAGCAGGGAGACGAAGAAGGGGGAGGGGGAAGAGCAGGGGCAGCATAGGCACGGGCAGGGCAGCCGCGAGTGCAGGGCAACAGCGCGGAGCAGAGCAGGGGCAGCAACAGACGGCGACGGGCAGCACAGGCACAGGCAGCAACGGGCGGCAACGGGCAGCACAAGCACGGGCAGCAACGGGCGGCAACGGGCAGCACAGGCACGGGCAGCAACGGGCGGCATCAGGCAGCACAGGCACGGGCAGCAACGGGCGGCAACGGGCAGCACAGGCACGGGCAGCAACGGGCGGCAACGGGCAGCACAGGCACGGGCAGCAACAGGTGGCAACGGGCAGCACAAGCACGGGCAGCAACGGGCGGCAACGGGCAGCACAGGCATGGGCAGCAACAGGCAGCAACGGGCAGCACAGGCACAGGCAGCAACGGGCGGCAACAGGCAGCACAAGCACGGGCAGCAACAGGCAGCACAGGCACGGGCAGCAACAGGCAGCACAGGCACGGGCAGCAACGGGCGGCAACAGGCAGCACAGGCACGGGCAGCAACGGGCAGCACAGGCACGGGCAGCAACGGGCGGCAACGGGCAGCACAGGCACGGGCAGCAACGGGCGGCAACGGGCAGCACAGGCACGGGCAGCAACGGGCGGCAACAGGCAGCACAGGCACGGGCAGCACAGGCACGGGCAGCAACAGGCGGCAACGGGCAGCACATGCATGGGCAGCAACGGGCGGCAACGGGCAGCACAGGCACGGGCAGCAATAGGCAGCAACGGGCAGCACAGGCACAGGCAGCAACGGGCGGCAACAGGCAGCACAGGCACGGGCAGCAACAGGCAGCACAAGCACGGGCAGCAACGGGCGGCAACAGGCAGCACAGGCATGGGCAGCAACGGGCGGCAGCGGGCAGCACAGGCACGGGCAGCAACGGGCGGCAACGGGCAGCACAGGCACGGGCAGAAACAGGCGGCAACGGGCAGCACAGGCACGGGCAACAACGGGCGGCAACGGGCAGCACATGCACGGGCAGCAACAGGAAGCAACGGGCAGCACGGGCACAGGCAGCAATGGGCAGCAACTGGCAGCAACGGGCGGCAACAGGCAGCACAGGCACGGGCAGCACAGGGAGGCAGCCGTACCGAGTCCAGGAGCGGCGGCGCATTGAAGGGTCGGCGCCGTGGGCTGCTGCTGGGGCGGCTCGCGGGGTCCCTGGGGCGGCATTGCGGGCTGCTGCAGGGTCGGAGCCGCGGGGTCCAGGGGCGGCTGCTGAGGTCCAGGGGCGGCTTCACCAGGGGCAGCTGCTCCAGGGGCCAGGGGCGGGTGCTCTGGGTCCAGGGGCGGCTGCAACAGGGGCGGCTGCACCAGGGGCCAAGGGCGGCTGCGGAGGTCCAGGGGCGGCTGCACCGGGGTTGGCTGCTCCAGGGGCTAGGGGCGGCTGCACTGGGTCCAAGGGCGGCTGCTCCAGGGGCGGCGGCGGCTGGTCCAGGGTCCAGGGATAGCTGCTCCAGGTGCCAGGGGCGGGTGCTCTGGGTCCAGGGGTGGTTGTAACAGGGGCGGCTGCACCAGGGGCCAAGGGCGGCTGCGGAGGTCCAGGGTCCAGGGGCAGCTGCTCGAGGGGCGGCGCTGGTGCATGGCAGAGGTGGTGGCCAGGGGGGAGGGCGCCGCGATGAGCAGGGACGACACCCAAGGGGCGCCGCGACGAGCAGGGACGGCGCCCAAGGGGCGCCGCGACGAGCAAGGGCGATGCCCCAGGGGCGCCGAGACGAGCAGGGGCGGCGTCCAGGGGGCGCCATGACGAGCTGGGACGGTGCCCAAAGGGCGCCGCGACGAGCAAGGGCGACGCCCCAGGGGCGCCGCGACGAGCAGGGGCGGCGTCCCGACGAGCAGTGGCGACGCCCAGCGGGTCCCGCAGGGGCGTCGCGACGAGCAGGGCGACGCCGCGCGGGTCCTGCAGGGGCATCGCGTCGAGCAGGAGCGGCGACGCCCGGGTCCCGCAGGTGCGTCGCGACGAGCAGGAGCGGCGCCGTGCAGGGCGCCGCAAAGTGGAGGGTATGGGTGGACAAAACAGGCCCGCGCGTGGACGTGAGGCAGGCGCGCAGGCGGCGTGAGAGCAGGTCGCGCGCGGGGCAGGAAGACGCCGCGCGCCCAGGGCGCACGGCGGGTAGAAAACCGCCGTGCGCCCCGAGCACACGGCGAGAAAAATACGCCGCGCGCCCGAGGCGCGCGGCAGGACGATAGGCAGCGGAAGCACATCGGTGGGCCCATTAAGGAAGGCAGCAGGAAGGTACCTGCTCTGAATACCATGTTGAGATAGTAAGAGTAGGGCCTAGGCTTAGTAGCCTAGGTCAAAGGGAGTCGAGAGAGTTTAGGCAAAGAGGGGGAGTTCACTATTGAGCGAGGTACAAATAGCGAACAAAGCATGCAAAGAAGGTGCACCACCAACAAGTTTATAATAACTACACTAACTACAGCTACAGCAGTTACAGATATACTCTAACAAAGTCGTCCTAGGGTTGCGAAGCATTGTATGAAATGTAAGTATACCAATTGTCACAACTTTTAAGACTATACAGAGTTCTGTAGAATGACACTAAGTTGGTATTTTACCGTAGTGGCAAAGATTCTAAAATCTTATCTACAGAGTTCGAACTTAAACCTTATGATCCGCCAGATTTTTTTCAACGACTGTGCTAACGCAACTGTGTCAATGTTTCCATCACAATAACACTCTTTTGTTTTTGCGACAAACCTAACACTTCTTTAGGGTTCGCTCGTCCTTTTTTCGCCTCCCTTCCTCTCTCGCTGGTTGAGCTCCAAGCTAGTAAGGCTCTACCTACCAGTTCCTACTGAGGTGAGAACAACTATAACCAGTCAAGTAGAATTAAGTTAGATGACTGGTACGTAGTGTGTGGCCGCGTATCATAAACGTAGCTACCTTAATCGTATCATAGTAGTGCTATCTGTAGTATTACTAGCTAGCTTAATCTCGTATCATAGTCGTTTTCTCCTCTGTTGGCCGCTTTTAAAAGATGTCCGTTGATTAAGCTTAAGTTCCGGGTTTCCCTCATTATCTTTCTCTTTCAATCGGTCCTTCTTACTCCTCCATGCTTGAGTCTCTAGTTTCCTTTAAACAAAATCAGATGTGAGTCAATCGAATAACTTTAGACTATCCAGGAGATATGTGTCTCTTGTATGATCTTAATTAACTGCATCTTCGGTTTATTGTTGCTTTCGTATGGTAGTAAATCGTGATCGTAAGTTTAATTCCATCATTTTTTGCTCTTCCTCGGTTTAGCCCCGTTATCCCATCCTCCTATCTCACAAGATGTAGTCGTTTATGCCTTTTTTGGTATGTTTGTTCACAATATTCTTATTTGCACCTTTTCTTTCCCCTATTGTTCGTCCCCCCTCGCTTCACCCATTTCCCACCTCCCCTTCCCTTAAGGCCGCCCTCTCTCCATCAGTTTGTTCACAAGCTAGTGTTTGGAGACTGTGGTTGCTTCCACAGTACGTAGGAGGTATGTTTTCCATCCAATATCTTTCACTATCTTCCCCACCTATCTTGTTCCTTTCTACCTCTTATATCTTCTCCCATTTCTTGATCCATATCTTTCTTTCGTTTTCTCCCTCCCTGATTTATTCACAGAGATTCACACACGTACATTTCTCTAGTTATACATAAACATTCCTTCGTTGACCTCTATGCCTACCTTCTTATTTCCTTCTTTCACTTCTGTGTTTTAGATTTTGAAATTGATGGAATTCCAATGTATTTTTTAGATGACACGATACAAAGCACTTGCATGAATCTATGAAATTTGTCAATGTGGGTATAGATTGGCACATGTTCATGAAATTACATAAGAGTGCGTGAGAGGTATGTGATTGTCAGTACATGCAAGCGTGACAGTGCATATGATGTGTGACTGGATGATAATTAGTAAGCATGAGGTATTGCGACCGCAGAGTCTAAATAATGAGATTCCGTTCATAAAGCCAAACACGTCATGACATTGCTGTCAGAACATTATAGCTCATGCTGTTGTGTAGGCTGTAGTGGGGTATCCCATAGGGGGTACAACCCAATTAGGGTTAGTACTTGTACCCACTTCTTTCATAGTTCATTCATTCTCGTTTCAGTTTTCTCATGGTATCGAGCAGGTTCCCTCGTGGGAGCTGTTCCTAGGGCCCTACTACTGCTTCCGCTGCTACTCGATCTGTCGCACGCCCCGTGGCGTGCGACCTAGCGATTTTCTTTCTGGCGCGCGCCCCGAGACGCGCGGCCCCGCTACCACGTCGCACCGCCCTAGCGGCCGCGTCGCGCCGCCCTCGCGGCCCCAGCGCCGCCCTTCCCGGCCCCGGCTCCGCCCTTCCCGGCCCCGGCGCCACCTCGGCTGGCCCCGTCGCCTACCCCGGCGACCCCGACGCCGCTCTTCCCGACCCAGCCCCGGCGCCACCTCGTCTGGCCCCGTCGCCTACCCCTGCGGCCCCGGTGCTGCCCTTTCCGGCCCCGGCGCCACCTCTGCTGGCCCCGACGCCGCCCTTCCCGCCCCCGACGCCGCCCTTCCCGGCCCCGTCGCCTACCTCCGCGGCCCCGGCGCCGCCCTTCCCGGCCCCGGCGCCGCCTCTGCTGGCCCCGTCGCCGCTCCACCCGGCCCCGCCGCCGTCCCCAAGCGGCCCCGCTGTCACCACCGTGTCAGAACTTATAGCTTACTTGTTTCTGTAGGCTATAGTGGGGTATCCCATAGGGGGTACAACCCAATTAGGGTTTCCTATTTGTACTCACTTCGTTCATAGTCATTCCATTCTCGTTCTTTGTTTCCACATGGAATCAGAGCAGGTTCCCTCCTAGGGACTGCTTCTAGGGCCCACCGAACCGCGCCCCGAGGCGCGTTTTTATTTTAGCGACCCGTCGTGTCGCCCCTAGCGGACCGTTGCGCCGCCCTTCCCCTCGCGGCTCCGCCGCCCTTCCCTAGCGGCCCCGCCGCCTTTCGATCGCGGCCCCGCCGCCCTCTGCTACGCGGCCCCGCCGCCGCCCTTCGATCGCGGCCCCGCCGCCCTCGGCTACGCGGCCCCGCCGCCCTCTGCCTCGCGGCCCCGCCGCCCTCTGCTACGCGGCCCCGCCGCCCTCTGCTACGCGGCCCCGCCGCCCTCTGCTACGCGGCCCCGCCGCCCTTCGATCGCGGCCCCGCCGCCCTTTACCACGCGGCCCCGCCGCCCTCTGCTACGCGGCCCCGCCGCCCTCTGCTACGCGGCCCCGCCGCCCTTCGATCGCGGCCCCGCCGCCCTCTGCTACGCGGCCCCGCCGCCCTCTGCTACGCGGCCCCGCCGCCCCCTGCTACGCGGCCCCGCCGCTCTCTTCGGTCGCGGCCCCGCCGCCCTCTGCTACGCGGCCCCGCCGCCCTCTGCTACGCGGCCCCTCCGCACTCTGCTACGCGGCCCCGCCGATCCGCCCAGCAGCAGCCGCCGCCGCCTGAGCCGCCGCCGAGCCGCCGCCGAGCCGTCGCCGAGCCGCCGCCGAGCCGCCGCCGAGCCGCCGCCCGAGCCGCCGCCGAGCCGCCCGAGCCGCCGCCGAGCCGCCCGTGACGCCCGAGCCGCCCGCGCCGCCCAGCAGCAGCCGAGCCGCCGCCGAGCCGCCGCCGCCTGAGCCGCCGCCGAGCCGCCGCCGAGCCGCCGCCGAGCCGCCGCCCGAGCCGCTGCCGAGCCGCCTGTGCCGCCCGAGCCGCCCGCGCCGCCCGAACCGCCTGCGGAGCCGTGCTGCTGTTCCTCTGCTGCTGACCTACCCGCCTCTCCCAGCCCGGTGAGATTTTCAGCTGCTGTCATGGCCACCCCCAATGTTCTTACCTTTGACGCTGAGGGGAGGGCCATTGACTTTGCCGTCTGGATTGAAGACCTGCAGCTGTACTTACTGTGTGATGCGATAGATGAGGTCTGGATTGAAGACCTGCACGCTGGATGAGGGGAGGGCCATTGACTTTGCCGTCTGGATTGAAGACCTGCACGCTACTCCTCCCCTTCCT